ATAAACAAGAACAAGACTTGAATAACTATTTTGGGTCCTGACTGACTGTTGCTGAGATTAAGTTCGCAAAAAAATGTCCTTTTAATTTATTTGGTATATTCTAGAACTTAAAACCTGAAAGTGAAAATGAAATGAGACCTGTGTAAGAGTCTGTACGTTGATGATGTTGATCAGTCGGAAGAGGAAGGACAACCTGTTCTCTACTCTGGCCATGTAGGACAGTAGGCAGCACTCAGAAAGTACCTCCACCACTGGGGAAAAAAAACAAAACAAAAAAAAACAAAATCAATGTTTAAAATTAAATGTACAAATTATTATATGGACAAAGCCTGACATTATCTCACAACTTGGATCCAGTTTGTCAAAACACAACTTGTCAATACACTCCTTAATGACTGTATTTCCTAAATTTTATCATACACACAAAATCAACCATCAGCCCAAGACAGGAAATTATTTCTGTAATTCTACTGTAACTTTAACAAACTAGTCAGCATGTGTCAATGTTCCATTGCTGCTTACCTTTGACATCTTCAGTCTGGCTCTCAAAGCGGTCCAATGACAGAACGATGCAGCGCACCAGCATGTTCGAGTCCACCAGAGAACTGTTGATCTGTGTCAGGAAGGCCTGAAACTACACCAGAGAAATCAAACTGTACCACTACACAATCCGGTTCAGGCAACACAGGAGTTGAGAAAAAGCAGTAAAATGTTATTTTGTTGGGTCAGGATAAACAAAGCATCTATGGTGCGCAGTCATACCTTCTCTGGAGTGTTTACATATTTGTTGAATCTTTTGAAGGCATCGATGTTGAACTTCATGAGCTCTCCCAGTAGGTCAAAGTAGCTCTGCAGGACATCCCGTGATGTACAGCCGCTATCTATGATGCAGAACAGGATGTGCTGTTGTGGGATGATAAAAGGAAGTCAGACAAGAGAAGTCAAAAATCAAGGAGACGACTGTGCAACGTGGGCTGTCTTCACTGATAAGAGAAATGACAGTGGCAGTAGTTTTACCTCTAGCAGGCCCCTTTTCAGGAGAAACATTTGGTCTGCATAGGAGGTGGCTCCTCTGAGAAAACTTTCCACTGCCCTTGCCTGCCAGAATCTACACACAACAGAAAGAGTCAGCAAAGAAGTCAAACAAAAAAACAGAAGCAGACAGACAGGCCTTAAGCAATCTTTCCAAAATGACCAGAGAGCTTGGTGCTCCAAAGCTGAGGTGTTTTGACTCTTTCCAGAAGGCTGACACTTAAAATGTCACTATCTTTATCTCCTGCATCTTGACCTTTGGTTCGCGTGATGCTGACCTGAAGGACGAATCTGGAGGCTCCCTCTTCATGACAGTGAGGAGGCGCGTGAGGAGGCCCTTCTTCCCATCACAAACAAGACTTCTGTCTGTGTTGACCAGAGCCTCTACCTCAGGGATGTTAGCCTTCATCGATATGGCACTGAGTTCATTCAGCTCCTGGCTGTTCAACAGCAAGTACTTGTTCCTGAAAGAGAGGCACTTCAGTTTTAATAAGCATAACTTTAAAAAAAAAGTCAGATCCACAGCAACTAAGTAACAGACTACTTACTCATGATGATCACTGAAACTCTGGAGTAGCCGCAAGAACTGGATTTTGAAGGATATTTCCTGCATGGTGAGAATAAAAAGCGTTTGTTATGTTAAACTTTAAAAAGTCTAACTGTTCAGAGCCGGTTTCTAAACACGAGTACTGTGTTAAGCTTTCATACTGGACTACAGTCGCAGTTCTCATTCTGGCCGTGCACCACATGATTTGAAGCTGTGTATTTCCTCCAGATGAGCTTGTCAAACAGGTTATTGAGCCCCGGGATGAGACGAAACTCAGCCAGCATCTTGTGGACCTGTCCAGAAACACAACACAGTAACAATTTAACTCTTCTCTGGCCAACACTCCAGCTTAAATCTCAAGGTAGGAAGAGATGTGTTGTTAAGTGCCTGGTTCCTCTGTCGACCCATGAGAAGAACACACAGCACATAGAGCACTTCCACTTTATACATGATCTCATGGACGATCTTCATGGACTGAGGCAGGTGTTGTCTCAGAGGGCTGGTGGCCAAGGAACTCTCATCTGATGACTCTGAGGAGGAGAGAAAAATTAAACTCTTTCAGTCCACGTTCACAGGATTTAAGCCCGATGAGAAACTAGCAGCACAGGTGACTGTTGCCTTGCCTGTACTGCTTTGCTCGGCCTCCTCATTAGCCATCTGCATGAGGGCATCAAGCACTAGAGCATTGTCCAGCCATGTGTACCAGTCCTCCAGCTCCTGCAGGAAGTTGGCTCCTGTGGCCTCCGACACCTTTCTAGTGGCCAGCTTACATAGCCGCTCAATGAAGCCAGGA